AATGATGAACAAGAAAGAGCAGACAACAGAACTTTGCAGCTGACTACTCACACCTTCCCACTGGTTGATTTTAATGCCTAAATTAGGTACTGTTCAGCCACAGAATTTTACTAGCATCTGGCTCATATTTTTTAATCTTTTCTTGAATACTGCAGTGGTGGACCCTGTCAAATGCCTTGCTGACATCCAGGTAAATCACGTGCTTTGTATTTCCCTCTTCCGTCTGCCTACTAATCTTTTCATAGAAAGGAATGGGATTAATCTGACATGATGTATTTTGTGATCCATGAAATAACAGTAAGCAATTTGGAGTAGGCAGAATTGTTTGGTTTAGCATCGCTAACATCCTACTACTCCAGGTACTCCAATCAGGGAAGACCTACTGGAGGAAGTAGCATTTGAATGTGGGAGAATTTGGCTAGGTTGTATAGAGAGGGAAGTAGACTTTTGTCAAGGTCTTCTCCTACTGTTTGTTTATTGTTTGTTTCCTGATGAGCTTATCAACTTCAGCCTCCTGTCTCCAAACAAGTGGAAATTTTTGATAAGAGAGAGCTTTTTTGTTAAAGATTTAAAATGGACCAACTTGTGACCTCTGCATGAAATGAATTCAGAGCTAAAAGATGCAAATAACTTAGTGGATGACCTGGCATCAATGTATTGGATTTGGAAACCACTGGATTTAGCAAGAATTCAAGAGAATAAAGAGAACCCAGGGGTGAGACACTTAAATTCACTTTGTTCCTCATATGCAGAGTATTCTAGGCCCAGGGTTTCTACTACCAGTGCTGAACCAAGGTTCATACAAAGACCATGCAGTTTTACTAAAGGCGAGACCTTCAGTCTACCTCATCAAGTCTGTTTAATCTTTTAGATAAGGCTTTAAAAAGTTTTATTTAACTTTTATGTAATAGTACATTCAAAGTTGTTTCCTGAGGTTTATGTTAAGTTGTATGATCTACAGAAACAATCTTAGTTCTCCCCAGTTTCATAGTTTCTGTTACTCCCACCCTCCTATAAGCATCCTCATCCTTCATATAGCAGAAAGAACATGCCATGGAAAGAGTTGGTGTCTTAGGTGTCACCAAAAGAGTTTCTGAACTTGGATAGAGAAGAATTCAGAGCTGGTAGTATGATTAAGTCTTGCTGAAATGGAAGTCATCTAATTTCTTCAAAGACTTCAGTTGGTTTAAGTTATGGCATGATTGGTCTCCCCTCTACATCACCATGATAAATGTCTTGCATGGTAATTGCAAGATATGCCACCCGAGTGGAGTATAGATGATCAGTCTTATTTTCTGCTTTTCTAGAAATGATAGATCATTCATATTTATAGGGCTATCAGCTGATGGGCTTTGAAAAGGTCAGTATTGATTATCTAAGTTATCTAGATGGTGTGCTTCTTTACCATACATAAATATGAGTACCTTTTATGAGACCGCTGTGATTTGGGGGGTAAGTAGTAGGGGGATGGGTATTTATGTGAACGAAGCAGTGGGAATTTCAACAAAAGTATACTTAGATTTTGGAATTGGCAGGATCATATTTTAGCTACTCCCCTCCTCCGACACACACACACACACACACACACACACACACACACACACACACACACACACACAAAATCCACTTTACAGATAAGGAAACTGAGTCCCTATCAGTGGAAATGGGTGGATAAAATGCCGGTGCTTGCATTAAAGAAAAATGGGGATGTTGTTTGTCAAAATCTGCACAATGGTTTAATGTAGGTGGTGGATTTTGGACTTTTGGGTGAATCTTTTTCATCTCTATGCTTTCTGTATTTTCAGAGCTTTCTGTAAAGCACATATATTACTTTACCAATGAATAAAAAAATAGTTGATTCTAAACCCAATGTGAATGACATGCCAGTTGGCCTTTCCCCTCAATGGCCTTCAAAGAACTCACTTTGGAAGAACATGTAAAGTCCAGGCTGCAGTAAAATCATGACTCCTCTCTAGTCTTTATGCATTTGTGACTGACCATGGGGCCTTCTTCACTTCTCTTTTCTATTCCTCCCTGCTATACGTAGAGTTTTTGGCCACTTCAGCCTCCGCTCTGAATGGCAGTTGGTGAAAGTGGACTACAAGTCAATCTTCAGTCGGCGCTGCACCAGGGAGGACTATCAGACCTGGCACCTGCTCAATCAGGTACACCACACTGCACGGTGGGGCAGAGCTGGCTTCTGAGAAGAGGAGCTACTGCAAGCCCAATTTGGTCTTCTCTGGGCCTTCTTATTTGGGTAGTGGGCCATCTGAGGATGTGAGTGTGGATTAGAGAGGGAGGGTTGGGCACACCCAGGCCCAGCAGGAGTGGATGATATTTAGAGACGGTTTTGCACCCTGGGATTGTATCTATCCATTGAGGTCACTAAGCTGCTTGGGGGAGAAGTGATGGTGATCACCTGTGGTTGTAGCTGTATCCATGGAGAAATGAGCGCCAGATAGCTAGGAGGCTGTCCAATGATTTGTCCACCTTATCTGCCAATGTGCAGGGTGAGAGCACTTCTCAGGCCATCTTGAAGTAAGGGCCCCAGAGCACTGAGAACAGGACCACTGAGAAAGGGTACAGGGGTGGGTGGTCTAGCAATGGCGGATACTTATTGTGGCACAACATAGGCAGGCTCTTCATTCTTCAGGACCATCGGGACCTTGTGATTTGTACAAACTTCTATTCTTCTTTTTGTCCTTGACTAGGAATTGGGACTTGGGCATGGCCGTTTATCACAGAGAGGGAACTTTTGGGGTCAGCTTCAATTTTACTCTGAAAATGTTGTAGAAAGTATACGAGAGGTGGGCTACTTTCCACTAGAATTACAGCTGGAGCCATTTGGGCAACTGCCTGGTGGTCTGTGAGGATGCCTGGAGTCTTCCTGTCCTCTAGGGAGGTGGAGAAGAGACTGGGCAATGTAGACACCACTGGCTGGGTGGCTGGGGGTGACAGTGGGCCAGCCTCCCACAGTGCTCCTCTTTGTGGTAGTAAGAGATGAGCACTTTCATTCTTGAAACTCCTGGATGGTTACTGGGAATGAGATTTCTACGTAGAGGGACTAAAAGAGGATGTAAGTCTAATGCTTCTTGTTGAGAAGCTGATTTATTTCACCTCCTTTGTGTTTTTCTGCCTCTGTCACTATGGATTTTCTCTCTAAGGGAGAGCCTTGCGTCATGGGGGAAAGGAAAATATTCAAGAAACGCAAGCCAGGAGCTCAGTGTGCCCTGGGCCGAGACTACTCAGGGTCGGTGGTCTCAGAACCCTGTGTTTGTGCCGACTGGGACTTTGAGTGGTGAGTCTTTTGGCATTTCATCACCAAATCCAACCACATGTATACCTGTTTGTGCGGTGGGGGTGAAGATGGAGTTAGGGAAGGAAGGCATGGCCCAGAGGTAGGAGGTGTGTCTGCTGGTCTGTGGGCCTGCATTTCATCACCAAATCCAACCACATGTATACCTGTTTGTGCGGTGGGGGTGAAGATGGAGATAGGGAAGGAAGGCATGGCCCAGAGGTAGGAGGTGTGTCTGCTGGTCTGTGGGCCCAGCTGTCCTGGTTACTAGGCCAGATGGGAGGCCTGCATTCCTGGATGGAGGACAGGCTGAGGTATTTGCACAGGGAAGACCACTGCTCTCAGGGCAGCATTTCCAAGGAGTCATCTCCTCATCTACAGTGAGCAGATGTATTGGAAGGTCCTGGAGAGGTTGGGATGGGCACTGAAGGAGCTTAGAGAACTATTACCTTGGACTGCTACCTCCAGACACATTTACTCAAATCATGCTCTTTCAGGTGATTCTCTCTTATCATCACTGCCTTTCCCCCCCCTGTAATGACAGTGCCACAGGACCACTTTTAATCTTACCTGTTGAGATTTAAATCTCACTTATAATCTATGACGCCCAAATTACCAAATATTTACCTTCAGCCCTGGCCTTCTGTGCCTCTTGGTTGGAGACAGGTATGTTTGTCTATCTACTCAGCATACATCTTTTGATTTGTTAACGGGGATGCCAAACTTCATGTGGCCAATCCCCCTTGTAGCAATTCTTAGCCCAGTTTTTGCAACCTCAATAAAAGAGCCATCCACTCAGTTACTGATTATTATGATTATTATGGTCTGAATAAGATCCAGACCATCAACAAGTCCTTGAAGGTTTTACTTCCAAATATTCTAACTCAAAGCACTTCACCCTATCTCAGCTGTCTGAATCACTCTAAGTGTCCACTAACTATCTCTCCCTTTCTACCCTTGTTACCCTAAAATCCATATCTCTCACAGCAACCAAAATGATGTTTTAAAAACCCAAGTCAGGGGCCGGCCCCGTGGCGCACTCGGGAGAGTGTGGCGCTGGGAGCGCTGCGACGCTCCCGCCACGGGTTCTGATCCCATATAGGACTGGCCGGTGCGCTCACTGGCTGAGGGCGGTGCGGGCGACACCACACCAAAGGTTGTGATCCCCGGTCACGAAAAAGACAAAAAAAAACCAAAACCCAAGTCAGATCTTATCATTACTATGCCTAAAATACTCCAATGGCTTCTTTCCCCCAACCCCCTCCCTTAAAACAGAATCCAGTCTTCATTCCTTGGCTTGCTCCATTGTAGGTGATTTTGTCATGCACTATGTTTGTGTCTGAATTTCTCACTCTTCTTCCCTCATTTACACTGCTATCTCCTGTGCCTGAATTAATCCATGCCCATTTCTAGCAGAGAGAACGGCAAGGGCAAGAATCCCTTCCAAATCTCAACATGGCTGGAATCTTTGGATCACTCATGTCTCAACAAAAATATCAGCTTCTCAGAAAGTCCTTCACTCTGTAGTATATTACTCTGTTTTATCGCTGTCTTACTATTAATCCTATTAATCACCCTATGAAGGAATCCTGTTTTTGATTGTTTCATTATCACCTGTCCTTCTCTAGTAGAACAGAAGTGCAGTGAATGCAGGAGTTTCAGACCTTCCTCATTGTTTCACCCCCAGGGCCCAGCCCATAGTAAACATTTGATAAATAGTTGTATCATGTTTCTGAATGTTGTTCTTTTGGGGAAGATCAAACACCTCTGCAGTTTTGGAAATGAGTGCGTATCACTCTGATCCCAGCTGGATGAATTCTTCTGCATTGTAGTCAAAAGCTAAAGTCCAGTTTGATTATTTTTGTAGCGCATCCTAGGCTAAAAGACAGAGCTAAGGGCTCAGGCATCATCAGCTTATAAACATGGAAGGGGAAGGGCAATGGCAGGGCTGCATTTGGGCTTTTCTGGTGTTGAATAGCAGGAGTGGGCCCAGATGGATACAGAACAGCTACCTCTGACCAGCAGCCTCACTCCTTCCAACCTCATTTCATCCAGTTGGTTTTTTGAGCTTGATTTGTGCTGGAAGCCATTTTTTATTTCCCACCTTCTTTGGGAGTGTACACGATTAACTGCAAGCCTACTGGATGTCTAGGACTGCTTCCTACCAGCTCTTCATCCCTGAACTCATGCCTTGGAAAGCTTGCCTTAAGTGAGATTTGTTAAAATGTAACATACTAAAAGGAATTTAAATTTGAATAACAGAGTCCTTTCTGGCAGTTTGGATCCTTTGGGAACAAAGTATATTTTCACACTTGGGAAAAATAATTTCCAATTATTAACTGCAATCCAGCAAACTAGTCATAGCAACATATACAGTAGGCCACTCAGAGTTATGGCTTATGACATTGAAGTCAACCTGAATATTCAGATATGGATTCCAG